ATACACAAGATCAAGATATTAATTTTCTTAATGAGACAACCAAAGTCAGCAAGTTTCATTAACAACCCCTCCCACACACTATCAAACAAGGATTATCTCTCTCTTCAAAGTCTAACAGAATGTTTTTTCATATCCTCAAATTGTCTCCTACTGAACTTACCTTCTGAGCAGAAGTGTTTAAATTAAACACACATCTTCACATTGCACTTCAGTGTTAACTACTCAAACCTAAAAAACCTTCCCACAGAACAGAGCACCAGAAAATCACCAACAATACTCAACAAATACTCTAAGAGATTATGAAAGACAAGCAAGAAGAGGACAAGTGGTAAACTAGAGAAAGGGTGATATAATATGCTTCTTCATAAAGGTACTGATCGCCTCTGCCTTGTCAGCTTTTCTTCAAGAAGAATGGAGGGTAAGCAACTGCCTTATCTTCATTTCTTATCTATTAATCACCAAAATATGACCCAATACAAAAGTCACGATATATAAATTATTATTTGTACTTGTTAAATAGGTTTTTTTTGTGCAGTAGTTGAGATCATTTTATAACTGCGGAATGTTAATTATTTTTGTATTGCATATAATTTTATTTACTTGAGCCTATTTTCTCCCTTCTATGGACAGGCTTCTAGTTGGCAAGTTTGCAGAGCAGGCAAGGGAGTGGAAAAACAGGACTCATATGGGCATGGACTCTAGTAATTTGTGCAGAACTTTGTTTCCAGCCTGTGACTTCACTCCTTCTGCCATGGAAATATTGTAAGTTAGAAAGCAATTGGCTCTTTGCCAGTCAATTTACCAGGTGGGTTTGACTGTCACTAACACCAACTGAATGTATAAAACCCTACCAGAACAAAACGCTGATGTTCGATACCTCTGTAATAGCATGATAAATGTCTGTAAAAGATGCAGGTCATTACTGAAATAATATTAGAGAGGCTGTAATTGGAGTACATGCTCCTTCAGGTAGCATTAATTGTCATGAAAGCTTAAGTTGAACTTCAGTTTCATACATTTAAGTGCCTATGATGTAGGTGTCTCAGATGAGCTACAGGGAAAATTTGGTTGCCTTATCGTAGGTACCAAATGTCATCTAAAATACCCTTCTATATCCTGCCCGGCCTCCAGCTGCCAGGATCAAAGGAAGTGTCTCTTGTTGGTGCAGCGATACCATGTGGTGTCTCACATAGGCTCAAGTGTTTCCAACACTGCTGGACGCTTACATTTAAGCATGGGAACTCAGCCACTATATCCAAGGGAGATGAGCGAGCCATTGAGCTCATCCTAAAGTAGACAACTGCATTTGGTGGGCAGAAGAGCTCTCCGCATGCCAGGATTTGGTGTCTCCTTCAAGGTGAGAAGAATCATGCTGTAGGCTGCACTGACTGTGTTGACGGTGGGTTCAACTCAGTTGTCTGAACATGGGCATCTACACCCCCCTGTGACCCTGTGGGGTATCTGAGACACTTCACTGATCATGGCTTTCCCCAGACATTTATATTCTTAGGAAAACAGAGAGAGGGTCTACCACAATTTTGTTCTACCACATGGGCCAGAAAATGTCTGAACTGCAATAGTATGAGGTCAAACATACCAAATTCTTGGAAAATGACAATTCCTGAGGTGTTGGGATGGACTATCTTATTCTTAAACTTTTGCATTTCTCCTGAAGTACCATAAATCACAGACATTTGCACTTTGCTGCATTATATTTTAGTTGAAAACTGTCAGGTTTTCTTACAAATTGTTACTGAGCTTTTCATAATTCACATAAATAAGGAAAAGTAAAATCAAATAGTTCACTACAGCGTACATAAAAAACTGCAAAATGTTCTTTGTGTATTTTAAGCCTAAGACAGTCTGCTTCTTATGGCATGAACTTTCTAAGATTTATTTCACATTGATCTTGTTCTCTATCTAAAATGTTTAAAAAATTATCTCAGTACGCAAAGTACTACTAATTTATCTTTCATGCTAATAGTATCATTTAAATCACAATTTTAATAAATTAATTTGAAGCAAAGTAGGCATGAATCTTCTCTCACATATAATTTTATACTAAAATAACCTCACCAACTTTAATGGATTTGCTTTTGAATTGTACTACAGCATAAAAAAGAAACAGGCAATGCATCTTTCTATAATATCTGCTAAAGTAAATAATTATCCTTGCAGTGTAAAGATCAATATTGGACAAGTAAGAACACATGTTTTATCATAACAATTTTAACTCGTGTGAATGATTTTTACTTACTTTGAGATAGACCTTTTCCAAATCAGTTAACAATTATGCAGTTTTTCATATCTTTGTTAAACACGCTTTTCTATTAAAGTTTAGCATCCCTTGGGCAAACAATAATTATTTGATATGGTTTCCTTCTTAAACAAAGTTGTAATTTCAATTAGGTTAAAAAGTAAAAAAACTTAAGATAAAACCCTCAGGCGTAAACAAATTTTGTTAACACATTTATTATAACTTAACTTTGTCTTTGAGACACTAATTGTATAGTTACTACCACATTTGTAATTTTGCACAGTGAAAAAATATTAATATATCCATTCAGATTAAGACCTCAAGATTTCAGAGGACCAATAATTATCAAAAGTTAAACATGACAGTTGCTGCATTGGGTTTGTGTGGCAAGGTTTTGGTAGTAGGGGGGCTACAAGGGTGGCTTCTGTGAGAAGCAGCTAGAAGCTTCCCCCATGTCCAATAGAGCCAATGCCAGCCCCCTCCAAGATGGACCTGCTACTGGCCAAGGCTGAGCCCATCAGTGACAGTGGCAGTGCCTCTGGGATAATATATTTAAAAAGAGGAAAAAAAACATTGGCAACTGCGGCTGAAGAGAGGAGTGAGAATATGTGAGAGCAACAATTCTGCAGACCCCAAGGCCAGTAAACAAGGAGGGGGAGGAGGTGATCGAGGAGCAGGAGAAGAGACTCCCCTGCAGCCCGTGGTGAAGACCATGATGGGGCAGATTGTCCCCCTGCAGCCCATGAAGGTTAATGGTGGAGCAGATATCCACCTGCAGCCTGTGAAGGACCACACACTGGAGCAGGCGGATGCCTGAAGGAGGCTGTGATCCTGTGGGAAACCTGGCAGGACCTGTGGGCTTGTGTTTATCTTCCCTCTTTACTTTGTGCCGGTGAGGTCCCATCTGGAGTACTGTGTCCAGTTCTGGGCTCCCCAGTTCAAGAAGGACAGGGAACTGCTGGAGAGGGTGCAGCAGAGGGCTACAAGGTGATTAGGGGACTAGAACATCTCTCTTATGAGGAGAGGCTGAGAGACTTGGGTCTTTTTAGTCTGGAGAAGAGAAGGCTGAGGAGGGATCTCATCAATGCCTATAAATATTTAAAGGGTGGGTGTCAAGAGGAAAGGGCCAGTCTTTTTTCAGTGGTGCCCAGTGACAGGAAATGAGCACAAACTTGAACATAAGAAGTTCCATCTAAGCTTGAGGAGGAACTTCTTTACTTTGAGGGTGGCAGAGCACTGGAACAGGCTTCCCAGAGTGGTGGTGGAGTCTCCTTCTCTGGAGACATTCAAAATCTGCCTGGACAAGTTCCTGTGCAACCTGCTCTAGGTGGACCTGCTCTGGCAGAGGGGTTGGACTAGATGATCTTCAGAGGTCTCTTCCAACCTCATATCATTCTGTGATTCTGTGAGAGAGAAGCCCCCGCTGGAGCAGGTTTGCTGGCAGGACTTGTAACCCTGAGGGGGACCCACACTGGAGCAGTCTGTTCCTTGAAGGACTGCACCTTGTGGAAGGGACCCACACTGGAGAAGTTCATGAAGAACTGCAGCCTCTGAGGAGGACCCACGTTGGAAAAGTTCATGGAGGACTGTCTCCTGTGGGAGGGACCCCCACACTGGAGCAGGGGAAGAGAGTGAGGAGTCCTCCTCCTGAGGAGGAAGGAGCAGCAGAAACAACATGTGATGACCACAACCCCCATTCCCATCCCCCTGCGCTGCTGGTTGGGAGTAGGTAGAGAAATTGGGAGTGAAACTGAGCCCAGGGAGAAGGGAGGAGTGGGGGGAAGGTGTTTTAAGATTTAGGTTTTTTTTCCTCTGATGTTGACTGGTAATAAACTAATTTCCCCAAGTTGAGTCTGTTTTGCCTGTGATGATAACTGCTGAATGATCTCTCCCTGTCCTTATCTCAACCCATAAGCCTTTCATTATATTTTCTCTCCCTCATCCAGCTGTGGAGGGGAGTGACAGAGCAGCTTGGTGAGCACCTGGTGACCAGCTTAGGTCCATGCACCACAGTTGCAATCAGGTTAAATATATTAAAAATGGAATTAAAATAATTTCAGTATTTCCTCAGATGGATTCTTCCACTTAAAGAGAAATCACACCTTGATGTACCTGTTTTAATGCAACCTTACACCTGGAAAATGAAAATTGACTTTACCAGGTCATATAAAAGGAAATTGTTTTTCATTACATCTTACTTTGTAAATGAGTACCTTGGTGAGTTGCAGAAATAGCCTAAGAAAAACTTGTCTTTTGACAGATGACATTTTATATATACTACAAATACCATCCTATGACATATGTGCTACACACAGAGCAGAAATACTTTGAAGAAAAAAACATACAAAAATATCAGTCTAAAAGGTTTTCACAAATAAAACTGAATACAACTCAAACTGGAACATCTAGAATTTTTTTAGCCTCAGTTAACAGTGTGCATTGGAAACATTAAATAATTCAAAAAAACCCACACCAGTGCAGTTGCAATCACTAACGGCTTTAAAATAAAATATGCACACACAGAGAGACATATATACATATTTATAAAGACATGTTATCATTGTGCTGTTAAAAGTTCTGTAATGATTATTTATTGAAAGAGGTCAGAATACCTTCAGATTTCTGTTTTCTAGTGAGGTAAAACGAGAACCTGTGTTCACAAACAAAGATGTATTTAAAACCACCATTTTTATTGTGCTTTTCTTGTGGCTATTATTTGGGCATTTCTTAAACTATTACAAACCTGTGACTCGAAGTTTATCTGTGCCAATTACAACCTCATTTTCATCCACTGTAAAAAGTGGCTTGCCGTCCTTTGAGTTGATCTGAAATTGCTGACTGTGGAATTCTACCATTTTAGGACCTGCAAAGCAGAGCAGAATAATGGAATAATTACATCATCTTTCTTCAACTTTCTATATAAATTACTAATAATTTGAATTGTGGTCTTAACAATTTAGTGACTCATTTAAGTACATTAAGAATCATGAAGCACCCAGCTATTCTAAGGATAGTGGCCCTGTAAGTACTGAAATTGGATTAAGTCTATTTACATGATCTAATTTGTTGTTCAAAACTGTGCCTGGAGTCATGCTTTCAAGTTGGATTTCTGGGGAATTTAGGAAATCCCTCACGAATTGATCAAGGCAAACATTTATGTTCCTGGTGTTGAAACTGCTAAGATTCTTTCATCAGTAAGAGTCTATCATCTTTTTTTTTTTTTTAAACATAGAAACTAATTATCAAAGTCTTTGCAGCATCACCCCTTTTGGTAAGGAAGGCTCAAATTCATTAAAATTCCAAACATCCCTTGTAAGGGCAGGACCCTCAACTCTTCACAACAAATGCCAGTTTAGATCCACGTATCTAACATATGTTACTGATCAGATTCTTAGAAGAGTTTCAAAAAGCTGCAGGAGTATTTGCAATTGGATCTGGTACTCCAAAAATTAAAGTAACTGTGTGCAAGACAGTTTTTACATATTGGCTTGGCAAGCGGATATAAATCAAACCCAAATATTCCCCTTTCTAACCACCTGACCAATTAAAAATTTGCATTACATAAGTTTGAGTGTCTATTTGATAGAATCATCATATAAATCTATATTCAGAACTAAAATTACACAGAATGCTCAAAGCAGTTAAGACTCCTTTTCTGCACTTTTTAATAAAGGTAATTCACAGACTATCCATGGGACTGAAAGGCACTGAGCTGCTGCTTCCCCAGTAAGACCATGCCTACTCCCATAAACATTAAATATCTTCCAGGCAGTAATTCTCAAAGGAAATATGAATTTTTGTTAGTTCTTACATTAAAATGACATTAGGTGATGGATGATTGAACCTGCTAAGAAATACATTCAGTTATTTCCTAAAATATGCATGGTAGCTGATGCGAGAGTTGCGTACCATAAGGTCCCATAAGAATCGCTTATTGCTTCACTCAGCAGATGCAAACTATTGCTTTCAATTGCTCACCAAGCATGGAAAGGATTATAGAGGCCATAATGTCCTAAAGTAGGCCAGAAAAAACAATACTGATTCTACCTGAAAACAGTAAGGTCAGAGTGCTGCATTCTGCAGTACTTCATACTCTGTTGGACACGTGCACCCAGGTGCTGCCTCACTGATTTCAATTTGGCTCTTCTCTAAAGCTCCTCTGAAGCCTGTGGCTTTATTTCTGAGAAGCATACTGTAAAAAGTGAGCTCAGAAAATATCTTCATTCAGTGAACAGATGTTAAACAGTCTTTTTTTTTTTTTTTTACAGCAAAAGATGCAGTTCTGGGTAAGTATAGCAAGGATGGATCCCTATCAATGTTGTCCTAAAATATCTTGTTTAAGGTGTTTTACTGTTCCTGTTTCTGCCCAGCAGCGATAATGAAATTGCCCATTTATGTAGCGTAGGTAGATCCTTGTTCTGTCTCTTCTGTTGAAGATATTTTACACTGCATAAGAGAAGGAAGGTACTATTTGGAGCTTTTATTTCCTCCAGAGGAAGGGAACTCAAGTGTCCAGCTTCCAGGGTCAGCACACTGGCTGTAGGACTGCTGGAGAGAAACCGCAGTACCACCTTTCTTCTCCTGATGCTGCTTATTGTCAGAGCTCATTCTAAAAAGCATGCAATTAAAATATCAGCTGGATTAGACCCAGCAGATGAGATAGAAATGAGAATGCTTACTCTGAAGGCTCTGACAAGGTTAAGTATTTTTCTTTTCAGTGCTGTCAATATTTTAGTAGGTCTGGCATGCCAGAAGCAAATATTTTTATAGAGCCATAGAATATTTATTGATTAAAAGAATAACTGAGTGAGGATCCTGAAGACTTACATTTTAGGTATATGCACTTTAAAGTAAAGTAGGTGCCCAAGAACTTCCACAGACTCAGTTCTAAGCTGTGAGGTTTTTTAGTGTGGTTAATCTCTAAAATACTAATTAGAAACTGCTGTAAGTATCTTTGTGCAAGCCTGCAAACAATACGCAGCAATATCTCTAAAAGACAACTCAGAAATATATGCAGCTAATTTCTATAAAAGTGCTAATTACTTACACATGATCACTGAAAAATACTTTAATATGATGAAGTGCTTTATGTTTAGAGGGAATGCCATCTACTGATTTCCTTGGTACACTGGCAGTCAGCTTTGAAGATAAAACTCCTGGGCCTGAATAATGGCACTTCTGTTTTTTTCTTCTTAGAACATCAGTGGACACAGAAGTTTTCATTGATTACAAAGCAGTGGAAAGAACAATGGATTTGAAATACTGGAGAAGTGTGACGTGATTTGCACCAGGCCCAACTTGATCTTGTCTATAAGTACATTTATCTTCTCAATTTGCTAATTTGCTCTATGTTTTTAAAAGCAATCTTGTCAAAGAAAGATTTTTCATGTTTCTCATAATGGGAACAGGAAAGAAATACCTCAAGCAGCATGAATTAATTAATTTAATTTGTACATCTACAGATTGACAGAAAATTGACAGGCTTTTGTTAATTGGATTGTTATGGAATGTAGATTAATTCACAGAGAGATATGACATGAAAAAATTATTATAAGATATAGGAGCTGCTTTAACTGTTTGAATTTAGGACGAATATATACAAATTAAATAGCATTTACATACCTTGGACCAAATTCTTTTCCTCTCACCTAACCAAAGTAGACAATGCATATTGTGCAGACTGACTTTCTCAGCTGTCGTCTCTAATGCAAATTTCAGGCATGGTGTCCATGCAGAACACGATACTGATAGAACCGGAGTTGCATTATATACCCATTTAATTAAACTGGTCCACATATACACTGACCCTATTCAGAAATGATTGGAACAAGGCTGGGATTAAGCCTTTCCACTCCCAGCTAATTGTTTTTAACATTAGACCATGTAAGCCCGTTCTTGGGCTCTCCTCTTTTCTTACACTCAGTATCTCATTATTCCAGGCAAGACAGAAAAGCTTTACCAGGAGAAATTGAGGGAGTCCTACCCTAAAATAATTAGAGAGGGGACAAAGAGAAAAAAAAAATCTCCTTAGAGAGAAGAAGAGGAAGAGTTAGGATTTGTAGAAAAGTGCTCACCCTGTCTGAGTAGTAAGTGAATCCATCTATACCAATAAATTAGAGAAAGTCAAGGCCGAGGAGACACAAGCACTGCCAATTTCTGTTAATCTGGTAGCATGTTCCTCGGCACCATCTCAACCTGTGCCACACAATGCCCTCTCAGACAATGCCTGGTCAGAGGCCGCTCCCCACAGATGGACGCATGAAGCTCTCCAGCTCTGGAGGGAACTGGGCTTATCTGAGTAATGAGAATAGTGCCGTGCCACCCGTCCCTGGGGCAGACTGTGTGTCCTGGCCTGGCCTGGTTGCTAATGCAGCGGTAGTTATTCCTACCTGCTAATCACTTTCCTACTTTAGATGTTTCTAGTCATGCACTGAGTGATTCATTAAGTTATTTAGGCATTTTTATTGCTTAATAAAAGCTTGGTGCACATGCCTCTTAACTTTTTTTCTGAACATCCTAAACATTGAATTTCAGCATGTAGAGGCAGAGTTAGTCAGGATCTAAGATTGTGAGTTATACTCATTACATTTTAAAGCTAGACATGAAATAAGATAAAATACTACAAACACTGAGAGCAGTCACTGCACACTATGTATTTCACAAAGGAGTATTAACTGGAGGCTCTTTAAAAATACAACCCACGGCCTTGCCCAGGCTGAGTTTGCATCCAAGTTTCTCTCCTCTTTGATCCTGGTCCTTTCACACTTCAATAAATCTTTAACAAGAATCTTTTTGTCCATAGTTTTCTCAATATGAATGACCCAGGGAACTAGGAGAGGGATTGTCCTATAGATAATACTCATTATCAAATAATGGTATGCATAATAAATGATGCATTGTAAATATTTAGAGGGAATGCTAAGGTAAACCAAATTCAAGCATATGTTTTATTCACGCTAGAGATGAGGCAGCTCAGTATATGTAGAACAAATTTCAAAAAGTAAAATTAGGCTTTTAGAGAAACAGGAATAAATTTATGTAACCACAAGTGGCCATTAATTTCTTTTAGCTGTACTTCACAACGCGCACGCACTAGCTATATTCCAATAACACTAATTGTACTGTGATCCCAGTAAGATTCATTTTCAGCTCATAAACAGCAGCCAAATTCAATATCTGAAACTGTAATCTCTGAATTCCTCATTGTATTTTGTTTATAATCCTAGTATTTAATTACATGCAAGTCAACTCATACTATATAATAATACTTGTTGATAAAATCCTACAGTTAAAAATGTAACATGACTGAACACATTATAGAGAGCATTTGAACTGTTTTCCCATTGCTGCCAGAGGCATCACAGGAATTCCCAGGCTAATCAGTTATCCTTGCTAATTAGGCTGACCAACAACTGCCCATTGTTTCTTTACACTTCCTCCTTTAGCATGTACAGTTGTGACATTGACTTTGTATGTGGTCATCACAGCTCTTGACACTGAGGATGCCAGTTTAAATGCTGAAAAATTGTTCCAAAATCAACTGACATATTGCCTGCAAAGGAGCCCACTGCTAAGCAGCCTTCCTTTTTGTTTCTTCTCCTCGCTCTTGACTCCCCTAAGCAGTTTTCCAGGGAAGAAAAGTCTTCTGACTTGTGAGTCCATTTCAATGGAAAAGTATTTGTATTAATTCCCTTCTACTGCTACCCAACCTTTGAATTCCGGGCCAATGCAAATGCAGAAGGATGAGATGGCAAATAGTAGAGCCTGCCATAAAATACATATCCATAAAGACTTAACATCAATGAAATTGGTAACATGCAGGCAGACTCTTCAAATCCAGTTAGTTTTAAGCACTCAAGTTTT